CTAAGAATTACTTTAACCAGCTATCTTATATTTTCAAATGATGTTTTTGGTTTTTTTTGTGACCATAAGGTTAGTTTGTTTTCACTGACATTAAATAAGCTGAACCTCAGTACTGCATATTCTTATGCTTGAAAGGATTGTGTACTTGTTCCTCTCCGCTGTCTTTAAGCAATGTTTTTCAGTAGCAGTACTTCATTGTATTTAACCTTACTGTCTGTGGTTGGATTGTGTAAAATACAGATAAGTCCAGAGGCTGATCTGAAGGTGTTAAAATATAAAGCATAAATATGCTTAAATTCTTGTCTTAAATACTTGAGTAATTACATCCATTTGAACCAAACAGACTATTTTTCCATTTTGTAATCAGTCTTTGAAATTTCTAAAAAAAAAAAAAAGTAAATGAAGAGAACTAAACAGTATACATTATTTTTCAGAAGTTATTTTTAAATTCAAGAAAGGTGTTTGTGTTTATGTGGGCCAAATTGAAGACTCAATTTCCTAATACCATTGCTATTTTACTACTTCTTGATAGGTCCTATTTTCAGGTTGCTAGGCATTTCAAAAAATACAAAATATGGTGAGATGTGTTTTGGGAGATATAATTCCCATATTAAACACATGGGACTGAACAGGGGATGATGGGTACTCCTGTATAGTGTGAATTTCAATAAAGATGACAAGATCCCTGGAAGGCAGCCACACAGAAGTACAGTTATATGCATCACTCTGACAATAAGCTCGCTCCCAGCAGGTTACTGGGAAGGAAAAGGCTGTGGATATTAATAATGAGAGTGACTACCAGAGAGACTCACCATTCACACCTTCGTGTGCAGCTACCTTAACTTCCTCCCAGGGTCTGTGAAAAGTGATCAGCATCTCCTCAGTGGACCTCATGGCCTACGGAGGGATCCTAGGGATGCCTAAAACTAGGAGTGGGGACCACAGGCAGCAGTGCTCAGGGCAGACATACACCAGGCTGGCTGCAGAGACCACCGGAGTGTGGTGACCCTCCCGTGCCGATGGGGAGGCTGTGGGAACTCAGCCACAGACTGGAAGCAGCATTACACGTCAGGATTTTGGATGTTACAGTCTCCTTACTCATATTCCTGCATCCATCTCAGCACACTTTTATTCCTGTGGCCCTGAAGAGTTACACAAGGCTCAGTTACCCTTGAGCACCGATGCACATGGCACACTGTCTTCTTCAAGACTCTGCTCTAGAGCCTCATGCCAATGTTATATTCTCTCCCTAGTGCGCATCTCAAAGAAAGTAGAGGTGGTTCTAAACAATGCTATCATTAATCTGACTCATCAAATATCCTGAAATGAAACCCAACCATTAGTTCCTTCCCTACTCCCCCCTGCCAAAAAAATGCAATCACACAATCAGAGACTTACAAAAGTAAAAACAAAAAATAAAGAAAGCAAACAATTTCAGGGCAGCCCTTAACCAAAAAGTATACTGGCAACTAGAGGGCCAGAAAGGTTTCAGTGAAAACAAGTGAGTTCTGGGAAAGACCAAAACATTTTCAAGTGTGTCTTTGTAGAGATGAATGCAGTGAAGTTCTCAGTGCAAAGCCTGGGAACATTTTGTGCTACAGTGTTGAAATAAAGTCTCATGTTTGTAGAAAGAGGCTTACATCCATGAGCTGTGATTTCCTTTCACTGCCAAAAATCTTCTATTTGTAGACATAATAGTCAATAATGACAGGGGCCAGAACATGAATACTCCACATCCATTCCCAAAGGGTGCTCTCAAAGGAAAATTTACTACTCCAAAATTCTCTCTCTACTCTTGCCTTCAGTGGTACAGATTTTCAGCTGTTGCACATTGACATAGCCCTCTTAATATCAATTCATATGAATTGATAACTCAATCAAAAAACTAATTACACTTATCCTAAAATGGAAGTACATTGTTCTAGACCTCCAAATCTCTCAGGGGTTGACAGGCCACCATAAAAGCAAGGGTTATAAACTTGAATTGATTATGGACAAATAAAGCTTTGCCCTATGAATTCTCTGCCTATTAAGTTAATGAGCCTTGACAAAACAATCATCTGAGGAGCAGCTGACAAATTATCTGGAGCAGCAATTTGAAAGGCGTTGGCTGGCTTACAAACATTTCAGTTGGGAGAATATGGCTCCATGTTCTTCCTCTGGAAGAGTCATTTGACAATTTCTTGCAGATCAACAGCAGATTCTGAATATTGGAGCACTGAGATACAACAATTACTGTAATTACTAAACCAAATAAATAATCCCTGCCATTTCCTCCCCATACTTGAGGCTCACAAATGCTGATGCAGAACTCTTTCTAGGAAGTCTGCATGAAGAAAGCGAGATACATTTTTATTTCTGACTGGAGCTCATTGAAGTGTTTAATGTGGAGGAAAAGAGCTTTGAGAAATTCAGGTGAGTAGAGGGGGACTCTTGAAAATACCTGATCAATATTTGGAAGATTTTTTTTTTTTCAGTATAACTTCCAATAGAGATGGTGGTATCACAGCTGTGGATTCAAACCAGGGTCTTTTACTGAATTAATTCTTAAAAATTTTCAACACAATACAGCCCTTAAACACATTGCACCACATTGCCCTTGGGAAATCTAGAGCTGTGTACATTAAATAAGCAAAGTTCATTTTGTTTAAATGCAAGAACAGCCACTTGCATTAGGGTAAAAATGAGATCAGTACTTTTCTAAAATTTGTTCTCCAACTGTGAATATGAGTCCATTTGGAAATTGAATCATGATCTGTTGTAAAGCTGTCACTTTCCTCACCAAAGGCATTTGCTGAAATATTATTTCAAATGTCTTCCTCCACACTCAACTATTCAGAGTCCTGTGGAAAAGATGACAGTACTGAGAACATGGAAAACTGTCATATTTTCCATCTGAACGTTATTTCACAGTGTGAAGGAAGTACAAATTATAGTAATCAGTTGCCTCTGCCACAGCATGTAGCAGAGTATAGCGCAGAGTATTTAACCATGAGTTGTGTCTTCTCTCCTATTTTATGTTCTTTTTGCAGTTTTTGTTGGACTGTTGATTTAAACAAACTGATTAAATATACCGGGACTAGAGCTCAATATTACATCAAAGTAGAATGAAGATAAATGAAACCTTGTTCTTAAAGAGAATTGTTAACTCACACTCAGCAGAATAATAACCAGCTTTCCAAGTCCTGATGTCAGGCCATCAAATATCTGATGACCAAGTATTCAATCAGTCATAAAGCAAAAGAATGTACAGAATTATACGTTCAGGTGCCAAGACGGCCTAATTTTATGAGCCCTCCAGAGCTCTACTGATCATTGACTTCTAAGTATGTGGTTACAGGAAGCAGCCTGAACATAATCTTTTCCCCCAACCTCTCTCCATAGTAGTCATGTCTACAGAGATCAGCCATTTAGCAATGAATTTCCTCTCCCTGTAGTTAGCAAGGCACTCAGCTCCATGGCCCCAGCATCCCCCAGGATCCACTCACTCAACTTTCTAGTTCAAGTTAGAACCTTTCTAAGGGGGCCATTATAAGAACCTTGCTATAATGAATGCCTCCACTGCCTCATTCTAAAACCTCAGAAGCACTGCCATGCTTTTAAATTACTCATTTTTATGAGTACTTTAAATAAATTACTCATATTTATACTTTACCTAAAGAACCAGAGTAATTTTAATTTTTGCCCACTTATACAATTTAAGGCAACATCAGCAGAGAAATTAAAATATTGTGGGTAGCTCTGTTGGTGCCTGGCACCCTTGTGCAGATATTTACACCTTTATAAAACACTGTACTAATCAATGTGTTTCACTCAAACTTGCACTGGGCTGAACATCTTGTCTAATTACTTTGATGACTTTGATTAAGCATCTTTTTACAAATTCTAGAAACTACACAGTTTTCATTCTAATAAACTGACATCTGCATGGTTTTGCCACATCTGTAACATTCTTTGCTAGTATTTGTCTTCTTGCTTTTTTAATGGAGCTTTCTATTTCATAGCATTGCAATGCCTTTCACAGCTGTCTTCCTAATCCCTGGTTTCTTTCCTGTTAGTGTATCTTACATTAATTTACCATTTTACTCTCCACTTATACATTTCTGCTCTTCCTACATTATCCTTTGCTTTAAAAAATGTTTTCTGTAGAAAATGTCTATGATCAAAGCTCCAAACGTAATTATTTTTCTTCTATTCTAGAATATAAAAGATTATAGAATTTCTCCTAACAAAGGAAGCACTCTGGAAAAATTGTGCCTTACTCTTCCTCTATCTCCCAGATATTGTTTGCAAATGGTTTATTACTGGCCTTGTAGTCTATAGAAGGGTAGCTGGGTTATACTAGCAGATAGTTTTGGATAGCCTGCTTTACTTCATTAAATATTTATCAGGAGGCAATCACTGACAATGTTTTAAAGAAAGATCTTCCATTATTACAGTTACAGAAAGGTTCATCATTTTAGGCTTTCCTAACTGTAAGAGTGCAGCTAGCCTAGGGAATGCTAAATTTTAGATGCATTCCTAACCGTGATTTGGTAAGGGAAGTGATTATTTTTTGCTCTATTTCTTTTGAATGGCTTAGGCAGCTGTTCTATAAACCCAAAGATGCTCAGTGAACTAAGTATGCACAACAAAGGAATAAAGTGACTGAATCAAAACAAATTACTAAAGCTTTCAGTGAGGTCTTGGTTGCTTTCCATACTCAAAGAGAAGTAAACACTGAATTCAGTAGTAAAATGTGGTACATATTAATGTGGTAACCTATTTTAGAGCACCATTCCAATGGATCAAAACATTGCCTGTGTTCATCACTGGATTTTGGATGACCAAAATTATATACCAAGGTAGCATGTATCTTCCAGTGGTGCAGATGTGAAAGCATGGTTAAAAATAAGCACAAGCTGTAGAAAAGATCTATGGTGAAGATGCAAACTATGAGATAAATCCAGTGATGTTCATGCACTCTAACAAAGGAGGTGAGGAAGAAGCGCATGCAGTACCTGGTGATCTCAGAGTCAGGGAGCAGGCCTACGTGGTAGTGGGGGTAGGGAGCTGAAAGAAGGAAGCTTTTGTCACACTCGACAGGGGAATAGTGCCTAGGAGAAGGTGGTTTATCACACAGTTTGTTCACAGTGCTGTAAACAGGTTCAGGAGGCCTGGTGATACAGAGACAAGAGTAAAAGATCAGGTGCATATTAGTTGCTGAAAATACAGAGAAAACACAGCAATCATTTTCAAAGCATGCATAGCAAATCTGTCAAGACCTTTTCAGTGGGGATTTTCCAACAAGTGTGCTGTTGAAGGAACTGTTAGAGTTTGATAACAGTAGTATGGCATTCAAGTATCTGCATATAAAGATATACACAATAAAAATGGACCATAAAACTTCCCTATGGGAAGTGTGGCACTGAAAGGGAATATCTCTGAAGCTGAGAAAAATGAGACATTTCCCCCCCATACTCTTTTCTGTTTTTTAATCTAATATCTACACAGCTTTCTGTGATCTTAATTTTGAGTACAGCATAGAAGAAAATGTTTGTCACCTGAAAATAAAGTATTTTTTACCCATTTATTTATAATATACAAGTAGATATTACTTGCTAATACAACATACTCCTGTCCTGTCACAGTGAGCTGGGACTTTGCAAGTAAAATTGACCCATATCCTAGAATAACAGTGATGGTAACAAAATGTGTGAGCAATTCATCTCATTGGCAGGCAATTCATTGCATTTCAGGAGTTCTTTGCACTCTTTCCAGATTCAGCCTTCAAAATCTGATTATGCAGACCACGTCTGAAACAGCTAACCTCATCGCCAAGGCTGCTGCAATCGCACATGCAATGCTGCTCCGAGCTGCAATCAGCAGCCTCTGAAGTTAGATACAAAGAGTAAGATCTGAAAACTAAAATTTCTCTCCTGCTGCCTAGAGCCACCTGCCCGGGGGAGGCAGTACTTACCACAGCCCTCCCAGGAGCCGTCTGGGAGAGGGGAGAAGGGAATGCAGCCTTTAGTGCCAGCCAGCCAGGGATCCGTGGGAGACCAACAGCGAGCAGTTTGCAAAACAAACCCACACCACACACACACACAGTACATCTCCCACCTTTTAACTTCCCTGCCTTGGCCCAGGGATGTACCTCAGGAGCCACTGGCACTGTGAAACTTGACTCATTGTTCCCTGACATTTCTGCTCTAAGGAGTGCCAAGGGTCAATTGCTATCATATCTGTGCTTCTGCCAGAAGATCCAGGGTATGCCACTGCCTTTCATCACTGTCATACAATATTAGCTAGATGGAAATCTTGTTTCACAAGCCTGAAAATATCAAGAGGCTGAGGAGTTAATGAACTTTTTTTGTTCTTCTGGCTGCACTGTGCCTCACATGGCTGTGGGTTTTGCTGTGACTTTCACAGATACCAGAATTTATTACAGTCACAGTGGATCTGTTGGCAGATACAGAGAACCCAATTTCCTTTGTTAGCTTCTGGGCTTGTCCTCTGGGGGAAAAGGAGTAGCTGCTTTACTTAAAAATTTGTCTCACTCAATGCTAATAACATTATTCATAGCAATCTGACATGTGATTTGAGAGCTCTCTGTGCCTGAATTTCCCAGGGAAAACTTTACAGTTAAAAAATGGCAATTTAAGATCACCAAATAGCAAAATAGCAAAGCTGTCACTCATTTGGTTATAAAGCATTGTGTCAAGCATTTAGTAAAATCCCTTTAAAAATGTTTAAGTTAGAAATAATTTTTTATCAGTATATTTCACTTGTTTCAGGTGGCTGGATTTAATAATTTATTTACTAAATCAATTGTAGCTTTCAATAAAAAAAAAAAATGCAGAGAAAGGATATTCTATTTCATTCTATTTTTGTCCAACACTGCCTTTTATTCCCTTAGAAACAACTTTTGCTTTTAGGCAATATATGAAAGAACAAGTATAAATATCAAATATAAATGATACCTATTAAGAGAATTGAAGAAATATTGCCCCAGTGCAGGAAGATGAATAAAAACTGTAGATTCCTCCATGGCTAACACACTAACCAGTCCATAAAGAATTTGTTAGTGTCCTATATTTGTTAATTGTCTTCTCTCAGTTGTAGACGACATCAGTGTTGCTACCCCTTGGATATTTTGTGAATGCTCAAACTACACTGAGTCATCAGTCAGTGACCATCCAACCTCATGCTGAGACACAAATCATGACACAGAGATGGCTAGATATGAGGAATTTCTTTGCTAATTGACAGTTACAAGCTGCCTTCAAAAGCAAAATGAAGTTAAACATTCAACATCTACCTAGGTATTGACACCAAATTAGTCCTTCAAGTATAAACAAAGAGTTCTAGCAAATTATTTAAAGAGGCTCAGCAAATTTTAAAACATTTAGCAAATGTTAACATGTTTTAAAACATTTTTGAAAAAGTTTTCACTCCATTCAGTCTCCCTGGGAGGTAAGATAACAAGTCTGAGTATAAAGTCCTGTACTCACTGATTTTGTATAAGTGATATTGTGACCTAGTTAGCATCGTACCCTGTATATTTGAGCTGCAGAGAGAGGTCTTAAGGTTAAGACAAGGAAGTTGTACTTATCCTTTTAAAACTTGGACTCTTTGGTTAGAAGGGGATTTAGGATATCAGCTAATTCCAGTTATGAGTGCACTTCTCAGAAGGCCTATGAAGTGGTCTGAGATCACCACAGCCACTTCCTTCCCATCAGATGTCACTTCCTTCAAGGTCATTGAGAGCATGAACTGCGCTGGTCCTTCAGATGCCTCTATCCTATTCAGATCTGTAGGCTAACAACTGCCAGCTGCATAGCTGGGCTCTGACTGCATGTTTCATTGGCAAAGGAAAGCAAGAATGTGAAAAAAACCCCAGTGCATAACATCAAGTGTCCAGGATAAGTATAATCTTATTTTCTCTCTCAATTTGGTCCAGTAAGTATGAATTAAGAAGTGTAAAAATATTTGAAAGTTGGGATAAAAAAATATCAAGTATAGGAATGATTAAAATTATGGGGCAGATCACTGTCCTGCTCATACAAACTGTGTTCTATCTAGGCCATTAATCACAAAAAGTAATATGAGATGCTGCAACAGCCTGTCTTCAAATATCCTCCTCATTCTTCACCTTCTCTATGGCAAACCAGTACTTAGCTACAATAGTAGCCACCTACTGGAAGAAAACAATTCCCTAGTTAAAAAAGAAGATTATGAAGGCCACCCAGCTTTATTAAATAATTGTTCTAATGCAGCATTTTCTCATGTCATTTATATTTCTCTTCATAGAAGGAAGAAGGAACCTCTTTGCAAAGGGATCAGCCCACCTGATAAATCCTGTCTGGCACATCTTCTCCAGTGCTATGGCAGAGACAGATTGTCCTCTCTCAAAGCATGGCATAATGAGAATGCTATTTAGAAAGAGTTTTTAATGTGCTATTATGAAAAAATACAGCCAAAGTCACCTCAACTTTTCTTGCAAAAATAATTAAGAGCCAGACTGAACATAAACATTGAGGCCTTACTTTATGATGCACTAATTCTTCAAATGAATTTAAAAACATGTAGCAAGCCATTTAGCACGCTTTAAGAAAAGTGTAAAGGCTAGAGATATATTATTTAAGGACTAATTCACTGCAGTTTGTGTGCATTTCTTTCAGATACAGCAGGTATAGCTTTAGAGGTTTAATTTAAAAATAAATGAGAAGCAGTTTCTGAAACTTTTTTTGAGGAAGAACAAAGAACTATATTATAGAATTTCTTTTGTCCGTTATCTTCATTTTTGTTAATACCTATGCATAAAAAAATCCCCTTAAAATGCCAAACGTGTGAATATTACTGTATATATCTCTGATAATTGAAATATCTCTTTTAAAGAGTAATTATGTAATGTGGATCTACTTTGAAAAATAAATTACTGCTGTAACTTCTTAGTTAGATCCTCTCCCCTTCTGTCTTTAAACTGTTTCTTTAGTGACAACCAGGCATCACAATTCTGTCTTTATCAGTGAGCTAAAAACAAAGCTTTGTGACAAATAAGAGCAGCAACTACTAGGTCTGCATGGACAGAAACAACTACATTATGTTAGTCTGAGTAAAACACACAACAGTAAAAGGAACAGAAAATATAAGCAGTAAACGTAAGTAGCAGCATAGCGTGGCTTGACCGTGCCTCAGTAGACAGTTCAACTCACAGGACAGAGAATGAAGTCACTTAACACCAAAGGTAAGCTTTTAAATGGTAACAGGGACAGCAGAGAGTCACTCTTCCAGCAAGAAAATAAAAAATAAAAAAACATTGAAAGATGGAATTGTTATTCAGTACAGACCTAAATGCAGTGAGGCACAATTCTCACAGAAAGGTAGAACTAATTGGTGGAAAAGATAACAGTAACAGTGGGAGGTAAAAAATTGATCTAACACTGGTTTTATTTATTTCATAACAGATTGTATAAAGTGAATCTTCCTTGTTGCTTGCAGTCCTTATTATTCCTTGTTTAGATCATCATTTTTTGTTGTTTCAGGCTGACTTAATTGTGGAACAGAAGTTATAAAAAATGGGATTTTTAAAAACCATTCTCTCTTCAGCATCATGCAGGGTCCTCAATTTAAAATTAACTTTTTTTTCTTATTGTAGAATCTTGTTTGGTAGGGATCGATTTCACAGCACATTAAATGTTAACGGGTTCAGGTTTTAAAACATTTCAAAACCTTTTATGATATGGAAAGAAACAAGCTCAGCATATTAAGTATGCAGAGCTATAGCCAGGAAACAATCTGAGAGAAAATAAATTCAATCTGATAGAAAATAAATCTCCCAATGCTACAAGTTTACAACTTTTCTTTTTCTTTTTTTTTGAGTTGCAATTTTTAATTGTATCCAAGTTCCATAAAGACAGCTAATACATTAGTTTTGCTAATATAGTGTTGCTGGGAAGTAGACAAAGAACTTTTTAGAAGAATTTCACTATTAAACCAAAAATAAATGGCAATTAAATACAAATAAAATATTTCACTTCTAATAACCAGTTATTTTTTATTTATATGTCCTTTGACTGGGCTTCTTATTCATATAACCTTCCAGGAGAACCACATACCTTATTGTTCAATACAGTAATTAGAACCGATAGTTGACTTTATTTCATAGGTTGTG